ATTAATCCTCAAAGCTAAAAAAGAAAACTGACACTGCATGAAGTTAAATAAAAGTATGAAAAAAAAAAGACAACCAACATGCACCTTACATGGTCTAGAAAGGGGGTACAACAGCAAATCCTACAGCAAGCCAAGCAGCCACCCCCGCCCCCCCACTCATCACTTACAAAAGCAGTCCCCTCCGTGAAGAGCAGATGCGGTGTGCCGTCTGTTCCCTCCTTTATATCGAGGGAGCGCACGTCACGTGGTACAATCACGCGTGTTTGCCTTCCCTTCCCTGGCCAATCATCGCGAGTCAATCAGCATGATGATTCACTAATTGGATGGGTGGCGCTTCCTGCACGCGTTCCTATTCTGCGTGAGACTCCGTTAACGAGCCCAGCCACGCGCGCTATGGCCTCATAGACGCAATCACGGCCCCCAAGTGAGTATATGTTGAGAGTCCATTGAGGGAGCTCACATCACGTGACGTAATTACGCGCACGTGCCTCCGACCATCTTCCCCTCCAGGCCCATCATCTGCAGCCAATCACAGCGGAGATTCGCTCATTGCACGCGCGCCCATTGTGTGAGTGAGGCGTCGTTCATGAGCCGAGCTACTGGCACGCGCCTCGTTAATGCGATCGCGGTCCCGATACCAGGCCGTGAGAGTCGATTGAGTTGTGTATTCAAGCGATGTAAACGTTTTTTTTCTCTTTAACATCGTCCACACGAAATTGTTCAAATTGGCCTCGCTACCATCACCATCTGTAATTCATGTTGTTAATAAGTGCCTGATGGATTGAACTGAACGTGCCTCTGGAATTTTTTAAAGATCATTTGTTCAATTGTGGAATGCTTTGATTTGTTTGCTGGCTGGGTCTCCCTTGAACACGTTCCTTCGGAGTGGACAGGTAGGAACTTGGTTATACAGCGCATTCGTGCGACCCGTGAGCTGCGTGACACATATTCAGGGCGTGGCTATGCACGACAGACAGACAAATAATCCCTGGTGGGCAGTGTGGAACTCTTGTTCCTACCTGCTGCATAAACGCGTTGTCAAACCCGCCACTACCCGACACAGCGAATCAGTAAGATCTGTCACGTAAACAGAACGTGCAAATGTGTTACTCGTAAAGCACTCGTGTATAGTTTAGTGTATAGTGAACTGTATAGTGTCGTGTATAGTGTCGTGTATAGTAGTGTAGTGTATAGTGTAGTGTATAGTGAAGTATAGTGTCGTGTATAGTGTCGTGTATAGTGTCGTGTATAGTAGTGTAGTGTATAGTGAAGTATATAGTTTGTTGTATAGTAGTGTATAGTGTCGTGTATAGTAGTGTAGTGTATAGTGTAGTGTATAGTGAAGTATAGTGTTGTGTATAGTAGTGTAGTGTATGGTGAAGTATATAGTGTCGTGTATAGTGTAGTGTATAGTGTAGTGTTTAGTAGTGTATAGTGTAGTGTATAGTAGTGTATAGTGTAGTGTATAGTAGTGTATAGTGAAGTATATAGTGTGTTGTATAGTGTAGTGTATAGTAGTGTCTAGTGTAGTGTATAGAAGTGTAGTTTTTTGTGTAGTGTATAGTAATGTAGTGTTTAGTGCAGTGTATAGTGGAGTGTACAGTGTAGTATACTCGTACACCACACCAGCAAAGTTTGTGTTTAATAATATCAATTTTCTATCCTTTTGAGGCATAAGCAATTACAAAATAACACTTACTACCCAGGAACAAAAGTCGTGTTACAGAGTGAGTAATCGTCACTTGGAGGGGAGATGAAGGTTGAGGAGAGGCTTGCGGAGCCCCAATTCGGTTTCAGGAAAGGGCGGTCCTGCAAAGATGCCATATTTTCTGTCCGTCTGCTACAGCAGAGGTGTAGAGAATTCCAACAAGACCTACATCTCTGCTTTATTGACCTGGTCAAGGCCTATTACACCATCAGTAGGCATGGGCTCTGGGGTGTTCTTCGTGCTTTCGGAGTCCCTGACCCTCTGCTCACGATCATTAAGGACCTTCGTGATGGTGAGCTACGTAGCCGGGAGTCACAGCCATTTCCTGTACACCTTGGGGCAGTGGCGGCTCCTGAAAAATCTCTCAGGGGGGGCAAATGTCTGGATGATTGATAAGGATAAGGTCCACCCATGCAATGAATAAATTAACAGCTTAAGCATGTAAAGGCAACTTCACTTCTTTAATATTAATGAAAAATAAAGTGACTCTTACAATACATCTTGTTTGTTTATATACTCACTATTAAAACAAACCACTCAAGTTTATTTTATTAAAGATTCCACTAGGTAGCGATAAATTATATTGTTGGATGAAACGTGCTTACGTATGATGACGTTAGCACGTATGATGACATAAGCACGTTAGTGCATGCCCTCCCGGAAGCCATAGAGAATGCATTGCAGCGCCCCCGTTCGAAAAAAAACATCTTTGAATGTAAGTCTATGGGGCCACTCGGGGCGATTCTAAGCCGTAGTGAAATCGCCCAAAAAGAGGCGGTACTCCACAGAACGTGACATGACGCTGATTGGACTATATCCAGAGGCTGACAGTGACGGCTAGCGTGACTCTGTGGTTGAATGACATTGGTGGTGCGTCGCCCAATCGCCCTAATGAAGAAACCGCCCCTGCCTTGGGGTGCAACAGGGATGTCATCTTGTTCCCACATTATTTAATATCTATTTCGACCACGTAATTTGTAAAGCCTTTGATGGCTGTATCGGAGGAATTTCCATCTGGTGCAGATACAATGGGAGGCTGATCGATGCCCGGGTGCAGTCAAGGGATGGCTCCCTATTGGTCAACCACGTTATGTATGCCGATGATCTGGTAATTGCCGCTCACTCAGAGGAGGAGTTGGAGGCGCTTCTGCTGAACCATGCCATTAAGAAGTGGGGCCTTACCATCAGCCCCACCAAAACTAAGCACTTGCCTGAGTATTTTGTACCATCGGACACTCCACCCCCACAACTCCTAATTGGTGATGGGGCAGTTGTGGAGAGAGTGTAGAGTTTACCATACCTGAGCAGTGCGCTCATGACTGGCTCCGGTTTGACAGCAGAGGTCTCACTCCGAATCAGTCGAGCGGCATTATCTTTTCATCGGTTGCGTAATGCTCTGTGGAAGCTACCTGGTCTGTCGCTCCGCACGAAGCTTCGGGTCTTCTCGGCCAAAGTCATTCCCTCCCTTCTCTATGCTTGCGAAACGTGGACCCCCCTAATGTAACATCTTCGCCGGTTAGAAACATTTAGGCTGGCTTGTCTACGATCTATCCTGGGTTTAACCAGGCTGGATTGTGTGAGGAGCTCACAAATCCTTGAAAGATCTGGAAAAAGTTCCATTGGTGAGCTGCTCTGGCAGGCAAGGCTGCGTTGGCTGGGTCATGTAGCCCGAATGCCCAGCCACCGCATGCCTTAACACCTTTTGTTCGGCCGGATAGTGGGGGCTAAATTGGCGTGGCACGGACTAGAGAAGAGATGGAGTGATAGGGTACTGTAGGATGTGGAGCTGAGTGGACTTGCCGATGACTGGTACCAGCGGTGTCAAGATCGGCCTCTGTGGAGGAGGCTCGTGAAGGACGCTACTGGGCAGTTGGAGGCAGTCGCCCTCTAACAACAACAGAAGGCGGAGGAGCGACGCTCACAACAACGAGTGGTACGCCGTGAGTCTAAAGCACAGCAAGTTGGTACAGTAGGGGGCACAGGTGGTGCAACAGCCAGTCTGCCCCGTGACCTCCTGCCAGTGGGCGTTCGACACTTCATGTGGCCTCAAGATGAACATAGCCTGGCCCAAGCGTCGTGGTGACGTCACCGACAACTTAGTGGCAAATGGCGGTTATTGTTGTTGTTGTGTGTGAGACACGGGCTCTGTGTGAGACACGGGGAGAGACATAGGGAGAGACATAGGGATATGGCTGACTCCACATCGACAACGGGCTTTGTCAGGGTCGGGGATCGAACTAACGACCTCCTGTAGACCAGGCGAGATAGTTAACATCTCACCAGGGACGTGTGGACAGGGGAGGCAGGGGAGTCAGAGCCTCACCTGTCATACTCTAATGGAAATAGCTGTTACGAAAAGAAAAAAAATAACTAAATCACATAAATATTAAGATTTTTCCACTGATATGTGTTATAAATGTCTTTTCTGTACGATTCCAATCATTTTTATAGTAAAAATCGGCAAATTTGCGGAGCTTCGCTGCAAATAGAGGGAGAGACGAGAGGTGAGGCAGCGACGAGCTCAGCCTCCCCTCTGATTGCGCAACCCCTCAGTAACTGGATGGAGCACGGGCAATAAGCGCGTGCCTGTTACTATCTCAGTATGTCACCAATGTAATGTTTGTAGACCCCTTCGTTTCATGTCCTCGCCTTCCATACTCCAGGTAACTTATTTCACGTATGTGTATGACGATATTTAGGCTGGCTGGTCTCGTCATGAAACTGCAATGAAAAAGCACCAGGGGAGGCAGCTATCACATCTGCCTCACTGAGGGGGACGTGTCTAACACGCCCCCAAAGTGTGTGAATCTGGCTCTGACACGAGCCAGCATCTCACCACATTGATGATGATGATGAGAGAGAGAGAGAGATGCTGACATCGTCAGGGTAGGGATGGAACCCACGACCTCCTGCGTACCAGGCGAGATAATCAACATCTCGTCACAACAACCCTCGAGAGATGGAATCACCGAGAGAGGCCCTTCCGTGGGTATTTTTGGGGCTCCTATTCCACGCTTCGCCAACGAGGTTGTAAGAGGTGGGGGTGGCCACACCTCACACAACACCGTAATCTCATCACATCGTGCTGGTATGCAGCCGTGAAACGCAAATAGAATGATGTGGCAACACACTGCGGTACCTAATAAACACCACGAGCTCGGTCTTTAAATCCTGTGTGTGTGTTGTGTGACCACGCATCACATCAATCACTCCCTTTCATTGTAAAGGTCACCGATGACGCCGATCACTTAGCCACTTCCGACGTTCTTTCAGCTCTCTCTTCAGTCGCCGCCGCTGAAGCGAGCGCACGGGGAGATGTTCCTGAGCGGTTTGGTGAAAACCGACATCGAATAAACCGCAGCGCAGAGGAAGGAAAAATCACCGACGTGGGGCGAGCGAACAAAATGTGTGTGAGACACGGGCTGTGTGTGAGACACTGACTGTGTGTGAGACACTGACTGTGTGTGAGACACTGACTGTGTGTGAGACACTGACTGTGTGTGAGGCACTGACTGTGTGAGAGACACTGACTGTGTGAGAGACACTGACTGTGTGTGAGACACTGACTGTGTGTGAGACACTGACTGTGTGAGAGACACTGACTGTGTGTGAGACACTGACTGTGTGAGAGACACTGACTGTGTGTGAGACACTGACTGTGTGTGAGACACGGGCTGTGAGTGAGACACGGGCTGTGTGTGAGACACTGACTGTGTGTGAGACACTGACTGTGTGTGAGACACTGACTGTGTGTGAGACACGGGCTGTGTGTGAGACACTGACTGTGTGTGAGACACTGACTGTGTGTGAGACACGGGCTGTGTGTGAGACACGGGCTGTGTGTGAGACACTGACTGTGTGTGAGACACTGACTGTGTGTGAGACACGGGCTGTGTGTGAGACACTGACTGTGTGAGACACTGACTGTGTGTGAGACACTGACTGTGTGTGAGACACGGGCTGTGTGTGAGACACGGGCTGTGTGTGAGACACTGACTGTGTGTGAGACACTGACTGTGTGTGAGACACGGGCTGTGTGTGAGACACTGACTGTGTGTGAGACACTGACTGTGTGTGAGACACGGGCTGTGTGTGAGACACGGGCTGTGTGTGAGACACGGGCTGTGTGTGAGGCACTGACTGTGTGAGACACGGGCTGTGTGTGAGACACGGGCTGTGTGAGAGACACGGGCTGTGTGAGAGACACTGACTGTGTGTGAGACACGGGCTGTGTGTGAGACACGGGCTGTGTGTGAGACACGGGCTGTGTGAGAGACACGGGCTGTGTGTGAGACACTGGCTGTGTGTGAGACACGGGCTGTGTGTGAGACACTGTGTGTGAGACACGGGCTGTGTGTGAGACACTGACTGTGTGTGAGACACGGGCTGTGTGTGAGGCACTGACTGTGTGAGACACGGGCTGTGTGTGAGACACGGGCTGTGTGTGAGACACGTGTTGTGTGTGAGACACGGGCTGTGTGAGAGACACTGACTGTGTGTGAGACACGGGCTGTGTGTGAGACACGGGCTGTGTGAGAGACACGGGCTGTGTGAGAGACACTGACTGTGTGTGAGACACGGGCTGTGTGTGAGACACGGGCTGTGTGTGAGACACGGGCTGTGTGTGAGACACGGGCTGTGTGTGAGACACGTGTTGTGTGTGAGACACGGGCTGTGTGAGAGACACGGGCTGTGTGTGAGACACTGGCTGTGTGTGAGACACGGGCTGTGTGTGAGACACTGTGTGTGAGACACGGGCTGTGTGTGAGACACTGACTGTGTGTGAGACACGGGCTGTGTGTGAGGCACTGACTGTGTGAGACACGGGCTGTGTGTGAGACACTGGCTGTGTGTGAGACACGGGCTGTGTGTGAGACACTGTGTGTGAGACACGGGCTGTGTGTGAGACACTGACTGTGTGTGAGACACGGGCTGTGTGTGAGGCACTGACTGTGTGAGACACGGGCTGTGTGTGAGACACGGGCTGTGTGTGAGACACGTGTTGTGTGTGAGACACGGGCTGTGTGAGAGACACGGGCTGTGTGAGAGACACTGACTGTGTGTGAGACACGGGCTGTGTGTGAGACACGGGCTGTGTGTGAGACATATGATGATGATGATGTGAAACAGGGAGACACGGCAGACCTCACATCGACAACGGGCTTCGTCAGGTTCCGGGATCGAACCCACGACCTCCTACGGGCCAGGCGAGGTAGTCAACATCTCGTCACAACAGCTCGCAAGAGATGGAGCATCACGAGAGAGACCCTCCAGTGGACATATTACAGGTCTCCTCTTCCACGCTGCGCCAACGACGTTGTAAGAGGAAGTGGGTGGCCGCACCTCGCACCCAACCGTTCAGGTATGCGGACCTGGAATGAATATTGAATGGTTTGTCAACAAACTGCGGTGCCTAGCAAATTCCGTGAGCTCAGTCTCTATCTCGTGTCTTTGTGTGACCACGCATCGCCTCGACACACCCCTTCCATTATAAAGGTCTCCGACGACACCGATGACTTGGCCACATCTGTCGTTCATTCAGCTCTCTATCTCTCTTCGGTCGGCGACGCTTAAGCGAGCGCACAGGGAGATGTTCCAGAGCGGTTTGGAGCGGCCGACAGCGAAGAAGGAAAATCACCGACGTGGGGCTGGCGGGCGTCAAAAATGAATATTCCGTCGTGTTTCATCTCCCTGCAATTGTTCGCGACGCTGGTGAGTGAACTCACGGAAGGCGCCTTCGCAAACCGGAGGACGCCTGGTGTGGTCTGGGACTGTTGTTATTGTTGTGTTGGTGTGGTCTGGGACTGTTGTTGTTGTTGTGTTGGTGTGGTCTGGGACTGTTGTTGTTGTTGTCTGGGACTGTTGTTGTTGTTGTGTTGGTGTGGTCTGGGACTGTTGTTGTTGTTGTGTTGGTGTGGTCTGGGACTGTTGTTGTTGTTGTGTTGGTGTGGTCTGGGACTGTTGTTGTTGTCTGGGTGTGGTCTGGGACTGTTGTTGTTGTTGTCATCATCCGGTGTGAAAACCACAGCAAGAACATTTTCTTGCTGTGTGATGATGATTGCTTGTGTTGCAATCGAAACGTCGTGAGAATTTAATTGTTTTATCTTTATTATTTTATTATTTCCCTTCTACGTGACTTTACCGAAAGCTTTAAAAAAAAATAGAATTTCGGGTGATACATTGTTCTTAAGTTTCTCTGCCACGGCAGAGTGTTCAAAAATGAAAACTCACCAATTGAATTATCGGATAAGTCACTCACAATGATGCACAACTGCTGACGATTTCAATTGTTACTCTTTCAATTGAGAATGTTCGACCGACGGATGATGCACATGCTCAGTGATAAGATCACATTCCTGGCACCCACCCAGCAGAAGATTAAATCAGCCAATCAGCATCAACCAAACGCAGCCCCACTAAGTGGATGATATCAGAGCCACAACCAATCAACATCAACCAAACGCAGCCCCACTAAGTGGATGATATCAGAGCCACAACCAATCAACATCACTCAAAGTCAGCCCCACTAAGTGGATGATAGAGCCACAGCCAATCAGCATCAATCAAACTCAGGCCCACTAAGTGGATGATAGCAGAGCCACAGCCAATCAAGATCAATCAAACTCAGACCCACTAAGTGGATGAAAGCAGAGCCACAGCCAATCAAGATCAATCAAAGGCAGCCCCACTAAGTGGATGATATCAGAGCCACAGCCAATCAACATCAACCAAACGCAGCCCCACTAAGTGGATGATAGCAGAGCCACAGACAATCACATCAATCAAAGTCAGACCCACTAAGTGGATGATAGCAGAGCCACAACCAATCAACATCAACCAAAGTCAGCCCCACTAAGTGGATGATAGCAGAGCCATAGCCAATCAACATCACTCAAACTCAGGCCCACTAAGTGGATGATAGAGCCATAGCTAATCGACATAAATCAAACTCAGACCCACTAAGTGGATGATAGAGCCACAGCCAATCAACATCAATCAAAGTCAGCCTACTAAGTGGATGATATCAGAGGCATAGCCAATCAGCATCAATCAAACTCAGCCCCACTAAGTGGATGATAACAGAGCCACAGCCAATCAACATCAATCAAACTCAGCCCCTCTGTGTGTAAAGATATTGCAACTTCTGTACTGCAGATGCGAGCACGCGGATTTCACATTAACCGGAGCAACACATTTGTTCGGGATGAAGCAGCGTGTGACCTGTCAATAAACATTTCCAACCTCAAAATAAAGCTTTCTCTGGTGTGGACCAATCAGTTTCAAAGACAATGCATCATATTATCAGAGCGTGGTTTTTGTTTGCATTTTGACCACAAGTATTGTGGTTAATGCGGACATTATTCCTTGTAAAAGGTTTCAGTTTGGTGTTTTAACATATTAACACCTGTTTTGTTGCCAGATAAAAGGGGAAAAACCTATTCTCATTTCCAAGATATAAGTGCATAACTGTTTTTAGATAATATATTTTGGCTGAAGGGAAAAATCCACGAGTTATTAATTTGTTAAACACGTAGGCTTTCGCGACCAGTATTATCTATATATATAAAATCGCAAATCTGTCTGTCTGTCTGTGTGTCGCCGGACCATACGCAGTTTCATTGGACGGCGGTTGCCCCTGGCAACGGGTAGCGACGCATTCGCTGCGGGGTGGACGCCATTTTTAATTCCTGTTAAAAATATGCGCACGCATTAACACGCGACTCTGAGGTAAATTCATCAAAGTTTCACGTCCTCTTCACTCCCCCCCCACCACAATGTGTGCAATTACTATTATAGGGTCGGTAGATAATAAAATTATAGCGATTAGACAGTATTATTGTAGCGCGGGGGGGGGGGGGGGGGGACGGCACCCGTACCCAGCCTCAGCCGGGTGGGCAATTTAGGCGAGGCCGGAGGCTCTGCACGGTACTAGGCCTCGACACCCCACCACACTATAGGCTGTACATATTACTGCACAGCGGCCGAGGAGATCGTGGCTGGGGGGGGGGGGGGGCAGGGGTAGCAGCCCATCTGTGTATATATGTAAGGTTATTAAGAAATATATTTTTCACCCGGGCAACGCCGGGTACTTATGCTAGTTCATAATAAAGGTGTTTGGGTTAGATCGCGTTATTAAAAAATGTGTCGCAACCCTCCACCACCCGACAAAATAGTTCACTACTTTAGTTAAGTGGCTGATTACTGACCTATTACATAATTGCATTCACCCCCGCCTCTGATCTCGAATCCTGATGGGGTTCTACAATGATGACGTCATCCTGCACTATTTAAGACCGGAAGCAAATGGATGACTTCACTATTCCGGCAAATCGCCCGAAGATGCTGGATGTGATTACCAGCGAAACGTCGTACCGCTCAAATTGTAAACGTTGTCGATTCACTCCTCAAACACACCGGCGGGATGAAGAAGTAACTAATTGGCGTTTTGTCAACGTGACACATTTCTTACCGATTGGCCGTGTCGGGTGGTGGAGGGTTGCGACACATTTATAAATAACGCGATCTAACCCAAAAACCTTTATTATGAGTTATTAATTTACGTCGAAATCTCGCGTAAACCTGCACGCGAATAGCCGAGTCTAATTCACTCATGCAATTTGTGCTTAAATACTTTACTTGTATTTATTCATTAATGTCTAGTGGCATGCTTACGTTTTCAATATTTTGCACTCCCATCGGTGTGTGTATTGTGTGTGTGTGTGTATTGTGTGTGTGTATTGTGAGTATATTGTGTGTGTGTGTATTCATCTTCTTGGTTCTTTCGGTAAAGTCACGTAGAAGGGAAGTAATAAAATAATAAAAATAAAACATAATAAAACAATTCTCACGACGTTTCGGCCACAACGCAAGCAGCCGTCCTCAGGTGAAGAATGAGACAATGCCAAGCTAGGAGCTTATATATAAGCTGCGTTGGAGGTGGAAGAAAGAGCGCCTTAACAAAAGAATGTGCATATGAAGAGGAATTTAGCATATACATGGAATATGCTAAATTCCTCTTCATATGCACATTCTTTTGTTAAGGCGCTCTTTCTTCCACCTCCAACGCAGCTTATATATAAGCTCCTAGCTTGGCATTGTCTCATTCTTCACCTGAGGACGGCTGCTTGCGTTGTGGCCGAAACGTCGTGAGAATTGTTTTATTATGTTTTATTTTTATTATTTTATTACTTCCCTTCTACGTGACTTTACCGAAAGAACCAAGAAGATGAATCCCTGCAGTCACGAAAGCTTTAAATAGAAATGTGTGTGTATTGTGAGTATATTGTGTGTGTGTGTGTATTGTGTGTGTGTGTATTGTGAGTATATTGTGTGTGTGTCTATTGTGTGTGTATGGTGTGTGTTGTTGTAACTTGTTGAGCCCCGCATTCCTCCCTCCCTCAACAGAGCAATCGCTTATCGCTGCACTTATGTATAAGCTCCCCCCCCCCCCCTCGTTCACCAAACTGCACAGGAACAAAGTGATTGATGTACGTGGTTGATCAAAAGGCCACTGCCGTACCTGTGCCACTCGCTTAAGATGGGCCCTAGCTGGTAAATGGAAGCAAGTTTTAGTTTAGCCTATGGGCCTCCATGTATCTCTATGGGTCTCTATGAATCTATATGGGTCTTTATGGATCTGTGTGTGTCTCTTATGAGTCTCTAGGCGTTTCTGTGGGTCTGTATGTATGTCAATGGGCCTCCATGTATTTATATCTGTCTCTATGTATGTCTGTGGGTCTTTATGGGTCTCTGTATCTTTATGGGTCTCTATGCATCTGTGTGTCTCTTATGGATTATGTATGTGTCTCTGTCGGTTTATGTATGTCTCTGTGGGTACCTATGTATTTCTGTGGGTCTCAATGTTTCTCTATGGGTCTCTGTATCTCTGTGGGTATCTATGTACTTCTATGGGTGTCTATGTGCCTCTGTGGATCTCCATGTATCTCTGTTGGTCTCTATGTATCTCTATGGGTCTCTACATATATATATATGTGGGTCTCTATGTGCCTCTATGGGTGTTTACGTATCACGGTGGGTTTCTATGTAAATCTGTAGGTTTATCTGCATCTCTATGGGTGTTTATGTTTCTCTATGAATCTCTATGCGTCTCTATGGGGTCTCTGTGTATCTCTACCCGTCTAGATTATTTGGCTGCCGCTATAAATGTCAACGTCGTGACGATATCAGCCCAGTTGGTTGAGCTGCTATCATTACGTGTGGTGACCAGGGGTCTCTTCTGAACTAAATAGGTGCAGTTTATTGTATCTATCTATTTGGGGCTCTGTGTTTCTTTATGGTTTAGAGCAGGGGTGGGGAACGTCCGGCCCGCGGGCCGTATGAGGCACCGCGAAATCATTTGAGTCTGGCCCTGCCAAGGCAACCGCAGGCGGGACTCGAAATTCAATAAATCTATAGAAGCAAATCTGGAAAAGCAGTTGCGAGTAGCAGCAACATCATCAATAGCCAGCTAACATCACACGCCTCGCCAAAAAGAAGCAGTTCCAGCCCATCGCATTAGGGGTGAGTTCATTAAATGTTTGACCAAATATAACGGAGCCCGTTCATAAATGACGTCACGCGATTTTGGACGATTTTTGCCCCCCCCCCCCCCCCCATCGTCACACGGCGTCACAAAAAGTCAGACCCCCCAACCCTGAAATATGACGTCAAAAAGCTCTGCCTCCCCCCCCCAAAAAAAAAAACATGCTTCAAATCGCTTTAAACTATTGTCATTGTAGTGCGCATTTAATGCGCCGCTGCAATCTGATGTTGTAGGAGTAAATATTTATGAAAACGTCTATTTAATTAAGTAGAACGTGTTGTCTATATTTATTTAAAGTTGCGCATTTTGATGTGACGTTACATTTCTTAACAACCCCCCCCCCCCTGTCACACATCGTCACAAATGTCTGACCCCCCCTAGGTGCGTGACGTCATTTATGGACGGCCCCAAAGGCAAATTTTTAAGTTGATAATTTCGTATGGCCCGCGAATAATGTTATAAATATCCAAATGGCCTTTGGCCGAAAAAAGGTTCCCCACCCCTAGTTTCGAGCTATAAGGAGGTGTTTGTGACAAACGTATTGTGAGTGAGTGCAACGGTCTGGTATGCAGGCGGTCGTGGGTTTTCCCCGACTCTGTCGCCTGCTGTTTATTTGGAGTCTGCTTCTCTCTCTCCCTGTGGTCTCGTAGATTTTATCTCCAGGTCCTCCAGTGTTTCCCTCCACATTTAGAATCAACGGCACCACGCGTTTAAATTATTTGGCTGTTGCTGTAAACGTCATCGTCGTGATGATATCAGCCACTTTGTTGAGCTTCTATCATTGCGTGTGTTGCCCAGGGGTCTCTTCTGAGCAAAATAGGTGCAGTTTATTGTATCTCCCTATATGGGGTTCTATTTTCTTTATGGTTTAGAGCTACAAGGAGGTGTTTGTGACAAACGTATTGTGAGTGTCACAGTCTGGTATGCAGGCGGTCGTGGGTTTTCCCCGACCCTGTCACCTGCTGTATATTTGGAGTCTGCGTCTCTATCCCTGTGGTCTCGTAGATTTTGTCTCCAGGTCATCCAGTGTTTCCCTCCACATTTAGAATCAACGTCACCACGCTTAGATTATTTGGCTGTTGCTGTAAATGTCCACGTAGTGCTGATGATCATGACGATATCAGCCCAGTTGGTTGAGCTGCTATCGTTACGTGTGATGGCCGGAGTCGCTTCTCAACAAAAGAGCTACCACATAGCAGCTCAGTCTTGGGGCCTTACATCTGGTGAAAATCAACGTCGTTTAGTTTTAATATTGGTCCCCATGTATCTCTGTGGATCTCTATGTATCTCTACGGTTCTCTGTGTATCTCTGTGGGTCTCTATGTATTTCTGTGGGTCTCTATGTATCTCTGTGGGTCTCTATGTATTTCTGTGGGTCTCTATGTGCCTCTGTGGGTCTCTATGTATCTCTGCGGTTCTCTGTGTATCTCTGTGGGTCTCTATCTCTGTGGGTCTCTATGTATCTCTGTGGGTCTCTATGTATCTCTGCGGGTCTCTATGTGTCTCTGTCGGTCTCTATGTATCTCTGCGGGTCTCTGTGGGTCTATGTATCTCTGTGGGTCTCTATGTATCTCTGTGGGTCTCTATGTATCTCTGTGGGTCTCTGTGGGTCTCTGTCGGTCTCTATGTATCTCTGCGGGTCTCTATGTATCTCTGTGGGTCTCTATGTATCTCTGCGGGTCTCTATGTGTCTCTGTCGGTCTCTATATATCTCTGCGGGTCTCTGTGGGTCTCTATGTATTTCTGTGGGTCTCTATGTATCTCTGTGGGTCTCTATGTATCTCTGTGGGTCTCTGTGGGTCTCTGTCGGTCTCTATGTATCTCTGCGGGTCTCTATGTGTCTCTGTCGGTCTCTATGTATCTCTGCGGGTCTCTGTGGGTCTCTATGTATTTCTGTGGGTCTCTGTATCTCTGTGGGTCTCTATGTATCTCTGCGGGTCTCTGTGGGTCTCTGTGGGTCTCTATGCATCTCTGTGGGTTTCTATGTATCTCTGTGTGTCTCTATGTATCTCCATTAATCTCTATAGGCCTCTGCATCTACATTATTTGGCTGCCGCTGTGAATTTCCACGCGGTGATGATATCAGCCACTTGGTTGCGCCGATATCATTGGGTGCGGTGGCCAGGGGTCGCTTCTGAACAAGCATAGCAGCTCAGTGGTGGGGGCCTTACACCTTGTTAAATAAATACATATTTTGTTTAGTTTATGAGTCTCTAAGTATCTCTATGGATCTCTTTATGGATTCACCATTTTATCATTTACCATGGTAAATGTTTTTTGGTCCTCATTGCTTATCTTTGGAATTTGAACTGGACGCAGTTTTAGCTTAAATGGCATATTATGAGAACGTCTTTTTTCACGTTTCCTGTTGTCTGCAGATACTTCCCTCTAAAAGTGCGACGATCAGCAACAGGCCACAAGAGGTAAGACGCAAACAAAAATGTGTGACCAGCAAGAATATTGCCGGGCTCGTCAATTGCACAACAGCATCTCGAAGCGCCCTGGATCACTTTTCAAGCGGGACGATTCACGTGAACATTACGTCCAGCTCATCACTGACACCCATTCACATCCGCCCCACTGTGTGCGGCGACTTTTGAAGTGGGGTGGGTAGGGTTATAGCCAATACCAGTACCCGCCATTAGTGACGAAGTGACGTCACCACAGTATTAGTACTCCCCTCATTAAAATGCAAATCAATTTGTAACATTTTTGACATGCGTTTTTCTGGATTTTGTTGTTGTTATTCTGTCTCTCACTGTTCAAATAAACCTACCGTTAAAATTATAGACTGATCATTTCTTTGCCAGTGGGCAAACGTACAAAATTAGCAGGGGATCAAATACTTTTTTCCCTCACTGTATGTGCTTCTACGGGTATCTATGTGTCTCTGTGGGTCTCTATTAATGTATATGGGTCTCTGTGTATCTCTGTGGGTCTCTTTGTATCTCGGTTGGTCTCTGTGTTTCTCTATAGGTCTCTATGGATTTCTATTTGTCTCTATAAGTCTCATTGTGTCTCTGTGGGTCTTTATGTATCGTTGTGGGTCTATATGTGTCTCTGTGTGTCTCTGTCGGTCTTTATGTATAGTTGTGGGTCTATATGTGTCTCTGTGGGTCTCTTTGTATCTCTATGGGTCTCTGTTGGTCTCTGTGTATATCTATAGATCTCTATAGATTTCTATTTGTCTTGATAAATCTCTATGTGTCTCTGTGGGTCTTTATGTATCGTTGTGGGTCTATATGTGTCTCTGTGGGTCTCTATGGATCTATATGCGTTTAGAGTATTGGGCTGCTGCTCTAAATGTCAACACATTGATGATGACATCAGCCACTTGGTTGAGCTGCTATCATCATTTGTGATGGTCAGGGTCGCTTCTGAACAAAACAGCCACTTACACAGAAGCTCACTGGGGCCTCGTTACACCTGGTAACATAAATTGTTTTGGTTGTTACATTTTCCTTGTCTTGAATGTTTTTTTCCACGCAGGTTTTGAAAGGCGGATGTAACGAAACAACGCACTACTCGTCAAAACATGGCATCTGCTGCGAGCTCTGCCCAGCAGGTAACGCGCACAGACTGAAAGGCCTGAGTCAAATACCACCATAGAAAGGTTTTAATGTAGATTCATTGGACTTCTTTCGCACTGCACGTAGCCAACGGTGGCTAATCGGCAGTGCGGTGTTGAGACTGTGGACAGTGTTGAATCTATGGGTAGTTCAATCTAGATTTGAAGTTTGTTGTGACTGCAGGGATCCATACTCTTTGGTTCTTTCGGTAATGTCACGTAGGTAGAAAATATAAAATAAATTAAATCACGATGTTTCGGGCACAACGCAAGTGCCCGTCATCAGGTGGAACAACCACAGCAATAAATAATTGCTGAAGCGGGCAAGAGGAGGCTGCCTTATGGTTTATATTCACATCCGCATCTCCAGTCTTTTACTCCCAGGCAGTGGCGGCTCCTGCAAAATCTCTCAGGGGGGGCGATTGTCTGGATGATTGATAAGGATAAGGTCCACCCATGCAATAGATAAATTAACAGCTTAAGCATGTAAAGGCAACTTCACTTCTTTAATATTAATGAAAAATAAAGTGACTCTTACAATACATCTCCTTGTTTGTTTCTATACTCACTATTAATACAATCCACTCAAGTTTCTTTTATTAAAGATTCCACTAGGTGGCGACAAATTATATTGTTGGATGAAACGTTCTTAATTATGATGACGTTAGCACGTATGATGACGTAAGCACGTTAGTGCGAGCCCTCCCGGAGCCATAGAGAATGCATTGCAGCGCCCCCCGTTCGAAAAAAAACATCTTTGAATGTAAGTCTATGGGGCCACTCGGGGCGATTCTCAGCCGTAGTGAAATCGCCCAAAAAGAGGCGGTACTCCACAGAACGTGACATGACGCTGATTGGACTATATCCAGAGGCTGACAGTGACGGCTAGCGTGACTCTGTGGTTCAATGACATTGGTGGTGCGTCGCCCAATCGCCCTAATGAAGAAACCGCCCCGGCTCCCAGGCCTGCTCACTCCCATCACTTGGAAATTTGCTGCGCAGTGTTTCGAGCTTGCAGAGCTCACTCCCCCAACCCCCCCCCCAACGGTTCACAGCTTTAGTTTGAACTCTAGCATCATCCTTGCCGCTCTCCCCCAGCTCACGGCCCGCTCCCACACTCACCTTGGCCCCCCCCTCAGCTATATAATCCTTTGTCACAGCCATCTCTTAGGCATACTTCAGCGATTGTTTTTTCACTGTGGTTGTCCCCACCTGAGGACGGACGCTTGTGTTGTGCCCGAAACGTCGTGATTTCATTTAATTATTTTCAATTTTATTTTACTTTATTTTTACCTACGTGACTTTACCGAAAGAACCAAAGAATATCACGAGAGCCCACAGCGTTATAGCAATGGTCGGCCACAGCGGAGGTATTAGTCCTGCCGTGTTTCAGATCTGCCTTGTGCTCGCGATCACGGTCCGACACATGCCGTTTCGTTTCCCCAATGTAATAATCGCCACAGGAGCAACTTAGTTTGTAGACTCGCGGATATTGCATGTCAGGAATGACATCCTTCACAGATGGGATTAGATCACGGATTTTGTGTACTGTACTGAATTGGATCTGGATCTTGTGTTTGTTTAAGATTTTGGCAATCTTTCTAGTAACGCCCGTTATATATGGTAACGTGATGGTTTTAATCGGCGTCTCAGGGGGTTGTTTCTCCATGGTTGGAGAAACTGATTTGCGGATAATGTGGTCTGAATATCCATTGATCTTAAGGGCCTGGTGTACCTGTTCCAGTTCACTGGCTAGGTGGTGTTGGTCAGAAATGCATTGGGCCATATGGTGTAGTGTTTTGATGAGGGAATTCTTCTGTGCCGGATGGTGGTGAGAATCAGGTTTCAGATAGGAATCTGTGTGGGTGGCTTTCCTGTAGACAGAGTGTTCCAAAGAGCCATCAGGTTTCTTCTTAAACTAAACATCCAGGAATGGTAGCTTACCATTCTTCTCTACTTCCATGGTGAATTTGATGGATGGGTATATGGAATTAATGTGGTTGAGAAATTGGTTCAGTGCTGGCAGGCCATGTAGTCAAATGATGAAAGTGTCATCCACATATCTCTTCCAAAAGGATGGATGTAGTGTGGATGTCTGGATGGCATCTGTTTCAAATTTCTCCATGAAAATATTCGCTATCACTGGTGATAAGGGGGAACCCATAGGGGTACCTTCATTTTGTTTGTAGAAAGTACCATTCTAGGTGAAGTACATGTTGGTAAGGCAGTGCCTAGCCAGAATAGGAACATCAGGGCTCAGTCCATGTTGGACTAAATCCTCAATTATTGCTAAGGTGTCAGGCACAGGAACCTTGAACAGAGAGACAACATCAAAGCTGATGAGAAGATTATCTGTGGGACAGTGAAATGCCCTTGATTAGAGAGACCAAGTGAGCTGAGTTATGTACTGCTGAGGTAGTCTTGCCTGTGAATGGAAGCAAGGTATCAGACAGAAAATGGGCCAGTTTGTAGGTAGGTGAGTTGATAGTGGAAACGATGGGCCGAAGTGGAGTGCCTTCTTTATGAATCTTAGGACGACCATAGAATCTGGGTGGTCTAGCCCCAGAAGGTTTTCAGGGAGAGCCGTTTGGCTGGTTCGATTAGAGAAGTCGTGTTTGTTGGTAGCTGCTCATGAAGGACGCTGCTGGGCAGTTGGAGGCAGTTGCCTTCTAGCAACAACTACTATACCCTACACTACTATACACTATACTACTATACACTACACTACTTTACACTACACTACTATACATACCACTAGTATACACTAATATACACTACAATACACAAATATACACTTTTTTACACTATACTACTGTACACTACAATGCACTATACTACTATACATTATGCTACGATAGACTACAATATACACTATATTCTACTATACACTACACTCTATACTACACTACTATACACTATGCTACTATATGCTACAATATACACTATGCACTACTATACACTACACTGTACACTACTATACACTACACTACTTTACACTATCATACATTCCACTACTATGCACTACACTATACACTACACTATACACTACAATACACTACACATGACACTTTTATGTCCTCCGATCCCCCTTTGTGGAAGCTTCGATCACCCCACTCCCTTCAGCCAATCCGCGTCCTCCTCCTCAAATGGCTGTCAACCCTCGCTATACACTACACTATACACTACACTATACACTACTACTATACACTACTACTATACACTACACTATACACTACTACTATACACTACTACTATACACTACACTATACACTACACGATACACTACACTATACACTACTACTATACACTACACTATACACTACACTATACTATACACTACACTATCCACTACACTATCCACTACACTATCCACTACACACAACACTAAACGCTACGCTTGTATATCCTCAGAACCCCCTTTGTGGAAGCTTCACTCATCTCACTCCCTTCAGCCAATCCGCGTCCTCCTCCTCCTCCTCCAACGGCTGTCAACCATCGCCCCCCTACAGTCGACCCTCGTTACTCCCCTTTTTTACCTTTGAGTCTCTCCTCCAATCCTCTTCGAGTCTCTCCTCCTGACCAATCGTCTTTGAGGCCTCCCTGCACCAATCAGAGGCCTTGGTGGACTTCCTGACTGTCCGTTCGCACGTGCACGTTTGTGTCAGGTAAGTGGTCTGTTGCTTCGGTCAATGCACCTAAATGTATCTATTCTTTTTGGCACAACAAATAAAAAAACCCCAAAGAATATAAACTACAAACTAATACTGCAGTGTACAGTGTAGTGTACAGGGTATAGTAGTGGATGGGCAGTCCTCGGGTTGCGAACCTAATTCGTTCCTGAGACCCGTTCCGAAGTGGAACGGTTCGCGAGTCTGGAACACAGCAAGGTGGTGAAGGGCAACAAACACCAAAACCTTTTGATTTGTATTCTCGTTCAGTCGGTGCGTCTGTTTCCCTCCTCCCACCCACCCACCCACCACCCCATGCTGCCACCGTGCAGGTAGCAAGAAGTTGATGGATTGCGATTCCAACAAGACCGGCTCGTTCTGCACGGGTTGCCGTGCAGGAGAAGGCTACACGGACGAACCGAACAGCTCCAACGAGTGCAAGAAGTGCACCGTTTGCAACGTGACTTGTAAGAGGGGAGGGTGTTTTTTGTGAATTCGGGGAATCGAGGGGTTTGCGTGATTCACGCTACCTCGCCTGGTACACGGGCAATCGTGGGTTCGATTCCAACCCTGGCACCTTCGTTCCGCATGGCCGCGTACGCGAGCGGTTGCGCTGCGTGCGATCACACTCACCAATGTACTACCCATGTATGGCGGTGGTGGTGGTGATGGGGGTGGTGTTGTTCTGCAGCCGAAGACACTGAGAGGAGATGCACCACCAAGGAGGACACTCGCTGTCGCTGTAGAGACGGCTTCCAGAGGGCTGCCCCATTGGACCCCTGCACGGAAGCGAAGGGAGATGCAGGTTCGGATGACCAGGTCACCGCACCCATGCGGCTCTAACGCGCTCACAATCGACGCTGGCGGGTCAGTGGAGTGTATAGAGGTGTAGTGTATAGTGGTGTATTGTATAGTGTAGTGTATAGTGTATAGTAGTGTAGTATATAGTGTAGTGTATAGTTGTGTAGTGTATAGTAGTGTATAGAGGCGTAGTGTATAGTAATGTAGCATATAGTGTAGTGGATAGTAGTTTAGTATATAGTGTAGTGTATAGTAGTGTAGTGTATAGTGTAGTATTGTTCGGGTCTTTTGGAAAAGTCACGTAGATAGGTTCAAAATAATAAAAAATAAACAAAAACTACGACGTTTCAATCGCAAAACAAGCGAATCGTCATCAGGTGGAAAAAGGGAGGGGAAGCCACTAAAGGGAAGCTGTTTTAAAGGTTTAAAATGGGCGTAGCCCAAGCGTCCTGGTATCAGGACGAAGCGGGCAAGGCACAAGTGCCCTGGGGCCAGCACGAGCGGAGATGGTTATGTTCATGTGAAATCAGAGAAACAAGAGAAGGGGAGACGCATGGAGAAAATAACAACTTGTGGTACGCCCAACCCAGGCGGGACACCACAGGAACTCTAATTGCTTGTCCCATCTTTAGTAAAATAAAACGAACATCGGAAGGTGACAAGATGGAAACATCACAGCCAGTTATGACTTCAACTGGTTGATGATGCCCTTCCAATGATTGCTGAGTGTGTACCCATCCTCTCGGTTGAAATTGTGTCTCTATCTGTATATATAGATGGCTTCATGAACGAATCTTTGTTGATAGCTAGTGGGCTTGCAAAGTACCTCCATCTTAGAGAAATTAATTTTGTGTTAGCCAACCGCATTAAAACAATGATCCACCACGGCTGAAGTGTAGGTCCTCACGTGTTTCAAATCTGCCTTATGCTCACGAACACGGTCCGAGACATGTCGCTTAGCTTCCCACCTTATGACGGTCGCTTGTGTTGCGATCGAGATGTCGTAGTTTTTTGTTATTTTTTGTTATTTTCTTTGAACCTATCTACGTGGGATGTTGGCTATTAACAACAAGGCAACTCCTACGACCAATTGGGAATGGGACGCAAGCGTAGGATTGATCGCCCTGTCGCTGACCGCCTCTGGGGAGGGTGTATCGTGTGAAAGGCCGAAACACCCTAGGAACTAAAGGTTCACTACTGACGATGCGCTCCATACATTTCACCAGGCTCACTGTTCATGAACTCTTGGAAGTGCTTGCACAAAGGATAGTAACATCTCATCCTGTGTTCTTGGAATTGTGACTTTACCGAAAGACCCAAAGAATAAGAATTCCTGCAGTCACGAAAGCTTCAAGTCAAGGGTCAAACCTATTCTGCAATTTGTAGCGTTAATCTTCGGTTGCGTATGTCATCTTTAGAGCAGGACACAACAAATAATCTTCGTGTTGCAAGTGCTAAGTGTGAAGGCCAACCACCCATACCCCTACCCCAAATCCATTGCTATCCCTCGCGACGTACCAACAACAACAGCAGCCGCTCACCGCTAAGTGGCGGTGACGTCCCCACGGCATCTGTGCCAGGCTAGGTGCACTCTTGGGGCCACGTGAGGTTTCAAAGGCTCCCGTGACCTCGTTGCTACGCAAGAGAGAAACTGATGGCAATCGCACCGCGACAATTCACTCCACCAGTAGTGGTTCTTAGCCTGGGCTTGGCCAGAATATTTTAGGTGAAGTTAAAACTTACTTTGTTTCGTCAAATCCTATGTATTTATTAGACTACACTTTACACTATATAACTAAACTACACTAAAACTACACTACACTACTAGACAATTCACTATGAGCCACTACACAGCACACTACTAGACACAACACATCACACTACTATAGACTACATACAGTACTACAATACACTACACTACTATACACTACACATTACTACACTACACTATACACTACAATATACACTACACTATACACTATTATACACTACTATACACTACACACACGACTATACAATATACACTACACAATACTACACTACACTGTACACTACATACGCACTACACACACACTACACAAAACACTACTATACACTACACTATACACTACACACACTACACTATACACTACTATACACTACATTATACACGACACACACTACATTATACACTACACTATACACTACACTATACATTACTCTACTACACTACACTATACACTACACTATACACTACATTATACACTACACTATACACTACACTACACACTACACTATATACTACTATACACTACACTACACACTACTATACACTACACTATACACTACTATACACTACATTACACACGACACACACTACATTATACACTACACTATACACTACTATACACTACACTATATACTACTCTACTATACGTGTACGATCCTCAGACGTTGCTGGAGCTGTCATCGGTGTTCTCATCGGTGTTGCCATCGGTGCTGTCGTGCTCCTCATTCTACTTGTGGTGACCGTGGGCCTCCTTCTCTACAGAATCTTCCGTAAACGCTTCCCCTGGGGTAAGTCGCGGTGGCTAGGAGGATGTTGACTCCCTCGCCCGGTATGCAGGAGGTCGTTGGTTCGATGCTGGACCCTGACGATGCCTGCTGCTGTATATTTAGAGTTTGCTGGTCTCTCTCTCTCTCTCATCATCATCACGGTGTGGTGTAGTGTATATTAGTGTAGTGTATAGTAATGTATAGTATAGTTGTACTGTATAGTGTAGTGTATAGTGTAGTATACTACTTCAGCCCACCACTGTGTTGGAGAGTAAATCCACAACATTTACAGTTTAAGTACCGTCACGTTTTGCTGGTAATTATTTCAACCAGCATCATCGGGCGATGTTCCAGAATAGTGAACATCCTTGAGTGGGTGTGATTTTACATTTCAAATTAATATTTTAAGCCATATGAAGAAGAGAATAATATGATAATCATCGTCATCATCAACATAAGCCCATCAGGACAGGTCTATATGATGTAATGTATAATTTTCAAGAATATATTTGTATATAACAATGGTCTATAATAATGTATCTTTTTCTCTTACATAGAAAGCAGTCACTCTACAAGTGAGACCACACTTTTGAATACGGATGAAGAGGATGTGAATGTAAGTCATTCCACCTCGCTATGTTGATGTGACCTAACCGAAAAACACTCCTGTTATTGATGCCACTGCTGAATGAGAACCTCAGCAGATAGCGTAATTATAATCTGCAGCAACCGGACCGTGTTGACTCTCTAACGAGGTCCCTCAGATCTTTGGATCGCCTTCTTTCTAAGGATTCTGAGGTCAAGACCCTGACCCTGGGGTGATCGGCCTTGTGAGTGGGTGTGTGTGTGGTTGAGTGTGTTAGTGGATGGGTGGGTGAGTGAGTGGGTGGGTGAGTGGGTGAGTGAGTGGGTGAGTGGGTGGGTGAGTGGGTGGGTGGGTGAGTGGGTGGGTGAGTGGGTGAGTGAGTGGGTGGGTGAATGGGTGAGTGAGTGGGTGAGTGAGTGGCTGAATAAGTGGATGAGTGAGTGGGTGTGTGGTTGAGGTGAGTGAGTGGGTGCGTGAGTGGGTGAGTGGGAGGTTGAGTGAGTGGGTGAGAGGTTGAGTGAGTGATTGCCTAAGTGAGTGGGTGCGTAAGTGGATGACTGAGTGGCTGATTGGGTAAATCAACAATTACCCACCTAGTTCTGGCCACCTGCCCTGCACGTTCTGTATGTTTCTTGTCTTCCATACATGCCGTAGTGTTAATAGTCACGTGATCCGGGGGGTCAAAACACACACGAGATCCCAGGTTACTGTTAAAGATGACGTCACGGAGAGAGAGGGAACGCCCACGAGGGGAGCCGTGACGTCACCGGATGAGGCGGGGCGATGGGGGGGGCGGCTTCCTGGCAGGATTTGGAGTGGAGTGGGCCGCACATGGCGTGAGCTCGTGCGGAGAACAGAGGACCTGTGTCGTCTCAACCTTCGTCTGGTGGACTCGTTACACATGGAATGTATTATCATTGCCTTCTTTTAAAAGGCAATTAGCCTTCGTTGTTCCTACCGTGAATATCCTAAAAAAAAAACAAAGGTTGAGCCAAAACGCACGGTTGTATTTTCATCTATAATCAAAGCACTCGGCATATATTTACGCGCGCATCTTTCCCGTCACGGTGTGTTCAGTGATGGAGCTATACCACGATTTCTGACGCAAGATGCGCCATTGGCAGCTGATCGCTTTGTGTGTTTGACCGGTGGTTCTCAAATCTGATCATTAAAAAACAGCCTGCCGTGTGATAGCTACAACGCACAGCAGCAATCTGAGATCAACGTTTACCAAAACGTTTGGAACAAAAACCGAATCCTTCATAACAATGTGCATATCAGAGGTTGCAACCGGGTACCCGATACCCGTACTCTACCCGATACCCGGCTACCCGTACCCGGCCGGGTACGGGTACCCGTTTGCGACCCTGGTGCGGCCGGGTACAGGTACGGGTAGGCCGTGAGTAACTGGTGAGTAACCGTTTGTCACTCATTTCGGGTAGGGTACGGGTACGGGCAGGGAATGGGAACCCGTACCCGGCCGGGTACGGGTACCCATTTGCGACCCTGGTGCGGCCGGGTACGGGTAAGGAATCAAAACCCGTTTGCGACCTCTGGTGCATATGTCACGCGCAATGACAGAGAATGGTGGAGGGGCTGGGTGGGTGGGGGAAAGAGACGAGGCTGGGTAGCCATGGAGACAATTCCAGTAGAGGGGTCGGTGTGGACGAGAGAGGCGAGCGAGGAGGACAAGGAGGGCTACAAGTCTCGAGAATGGAGGAGTAGGACAGCGAGAGAGAGAGAGAGAGAGACGTGGCTGTATCTTTTGTTACGTTATTGATTAAAGTTGATGTGTTGATACGGGCGGCCGGGGCAGCAATGGAGTATTTGAATCGAGTGAAAAGTCGTGCGAACGTCTGTGATCGGAATAAATGCTCACGTGATATTGCCGACGAGCAAGACTGGGTTACTACTACATGTAGAATGCATGCCCATTATGAAGCGCCTTGATTGCAATCGAAAAGTTTATATTTTGTCTTTGTTAACTTATACTTTTTCCCCCTCTTCATTTGCTTCCAGCTGTTGGTAGATGATTCACCGCGCAGTAATGTCTCCAGTCATGATTCAATGAAGGTAAGTCATTCCACGTTTACTAAGTCTATCCTCCTCTCTTGTATTTGTCGTTGCTGTGTTTTCATTATGGTGGTAAGCGCCGACACAACGGGTCCATGGTTTTCTGGAGGAAGGTGGTGAGGGGGAGGGTTCAGAAAGACGGTGGGGGACTTTAGGTGCTTGAAGTGTTGTCTAGGTGTGGGAAAGGAATTCTCGGTGTCAACCCTTGAAGGTGTTTTCTGACGGTGGTGTAGAGTGGTAGCTTTTATATAAATATATATATGGGGGGAGGGGGGGGGGCACGGGGAGGAAGTAACCGGCATTCTACGGGGAGATCAGTTGTGGAGAGAGTGGAGAGGTTTTTTATACCTGGGCATTCCATCGCTGTACCGGAGAAATTCCCATCTGTTAAAGGTAAAATGGGAGGCTGATCGATGTTCGGGTGCGGTCAAGCGATGGCTCCCTATTGGTCAGCCGTGTTGTGCGTGATGATGATGATCTTGCGATTGCTGCTCACTCACTTTCCGTGCCTTTACTCTGACAGAGCACAGAAAATTTCATTGGTAAAATTATCACGGAAGATCAAACGGGCAACTGGAAGGACGTCGAGAGGGAGTTGCCAGAGTTGCGAGAGTGGATCGGCAAAACTCCCTCCCTTTTCCTGCATGAGCTGAAGAAGAAAAATTTGGTTACGGAAGAGGCGTACTGGAGGGCATTTACAATTCCCGACGCCGCTAAGCGCGTGGACTCAATCCTGTTGCCCATCATGAGACGAGGGGAAGGCGAATGTCAACAGCTGCTGAAGATACTCGGACAACAGCGGAGCACGGAACGGCATTTCCTGGACATGCTGAAGACGAGCCGTGCGTAGACTTTACACACTCGTCATCGTTGCAGTCCGTTAAACGTATCCTTTTTTCATTTTTTCAAGCCAGAGCACTTAATAAAATAAGAAGATTTAATATAGCGCCATTCATGCTAATTATATCCCACAGCGCTTTTCATATCCTATTATATATGTAGCAATTACCGAGCATATGAACACCCTCACAAAGTAAAACAATAATAATCAAATGCATAAATGTGACCAAAACTAAAGAGACACAAACAACAACGACATAAAAAAGTTATCTCAACAGAGAAATTAGTCCACTCAGTCTCAGCATCGCAAGCCCACAATCCCAGTGTCTCACTAAAGAGAGAAATCCTTCACAGGCCGGGCAATGGTAGAGTGGCCAATAAAAGTTGCGACTAATTTAGGCCGATCTCAGTGGACACTGGATACATATCATACTCATCCCCTTTACATCATCATCATTAGCCAAGGTTAACTAACTGTTGGATGAAGACCTCCCCAAGCCTCCCTTACCTCCCACGACCCTGCTATGCAACGATCCACTTAGCACTCGCACGCGAGCTGATTTAATCGCCGGCAGTAGTTCCATGAGTATATTAACATACGTCCGCAGTTCGATGTAGCTTCGGGCAAAGCAATAGTTTAAATGCATTTTGGAAAATGTAAGCGTATTATTCCTTACCGAAAGAACCAAAGAGTATTCCTAAGTTGTCCACTTGCATTCCATGGAGCCTCGATAATTATCAATGTTTGAGCAACACGGCACGGTACCACGTGCTCCGATGCTGCCGCGTTGTAAAGGTTTGGTACGCGAGGAGGCAATACTGCTGGCTACCGCACAATGAGTGATCACTGGTAGTTGAGTAAACCAAACTAAATATTTTTTTTTTAACGAAACTAATGAATATTACTGGGTAAGGCCCCTCTGCCCTGCTATGTAATAGCTCTTTTTCAGAAGTGACCTGGCCATTACAAGTGATAGATCAACCAAGTAGCTGATATCATCATGTGCAAATTTATAGCAGCCTAATGCTCTTAACGCGTAATATTGATTGTGGAGAAAAATCCACGGGGAGATAGAGAGACACACACACATACTACAAATATAAAAAAGGAGTCAGGGTCGGGATTGAATGCACGACCTCATGCATATCAGGCGAGTTAGTTAACATCTCCTACCCATTGTGGCACATGCTTCGAGTCGAGATCCTTCCACCAGCAGTGGCATCGGCAAGAAATTGGCAGGTGCACCTTTGCCTCTCTTGGCGATGACTAATCATGGCTGACGATAATGAGCAAAAAACCGAGTCGTGATTGTTAAGATTTACACGATGATTTTCTTATCTTGCAGATGTGTGCTCGCCCACTCTGAACCCCAACTCGGCACATCGACAGCTTAAAATGTCTGCCGATCTCAGCACAGCGACGTGGAACCAGGCGGATCAGCCTTACTCTGATCACGCAGAAAGGTTTGAGTCGTGGCCAATAGTCCTCTGCTTCGAGACCTTCTCGTCGGGTGACCACTACTGGGAAGTTGACGTGAGAGCCTCGGAAAACTGTTCTATAGGTGTCGCACGTGGGTCGATTCCTCGGAAATGTCAAGAAAAGTCTGGCAGGTTGGGCTGGAATGAGTCTTCTTGGGCGTTCATTAAATGGGATTCGAATTACTCTGCAAGACATGACGGCCGATGCATTCCTTTTCCGGAGATTCAGCATTTGCAGAGAGTCGGCGTTCGCTTGGACTTCAACGCAGGAAAGCTTTCGTTTTACAACGCCAGCACCACGGAGCTGTTGCACTCATTTGACGACATTCCGAGTGAGCCGCTCTGTCCGGCTATGCAGGTGAACTCGGGCTCAATCATGATTTATGAAGGTGAGTACAAGGGCGCGTCACGCACAGGGAATCCTTGACACTGACTTGGAGTGTATTCATACCCAGTAGGGAAAAACGATTCAGAATCGTCGCCACCGAGTGTGCATGCAGGCGATGTAGCCACAGCGGTAGAGCACGTGAACATCCGCTTGGTCAATCCACTGCTGGCTGAGTGCCCACCCACTTCCTATGGGTCGATCGTGGAGGGTGTTTGGCCCTACTTCACCCTGCTGGTCTGTGTGTGGTGGGGGTAGTGAAGGCGAGGGAGTATAGACGCGAGGTCATAGCAGAACACACCCACGGCGGGGGTTCCTGAAACACTGCGGCAGTTTTTGTTTTACCGCCCAGCAAGCGAACAAGGCAGATTGTCTCAATCTGAAACAAACAAATAAACAACATCCAATTATCTTAAATTTCGTATGGAGGTTTGATTTTTTTTCAACTGAATGCTAAAATCGGGAGCACAGATGCCGAATGATGAAAACGGAAATTAAATAAAAATCTAAAACTAATGGGATAGAGGAGGTGACTGTTCTAAATTATATTGGGAGATATAAAGATAATGTATTAAGCAAAGAGTTGCTGTGGGATATTGATGGCTGTTGGTGACAGACGGAGATGGAGTGCAGAAATATATTGTGAGAGTGAAATTGATTGTAAGTACAGGACCATAATAAATGTAGTGGCATGGGGAGACCTCACAGCAATGACTTAAAATTAACGTATGATGATGATAATAATAATCGTGACGAAGGCATTAAACAATTGCAAAGTTAGAACTCAAATTTGTTTTGATAATTCTTACAAATTTTTTAACAGCTCAATCATTCAAGAACCTGGCTGTGGATGAGAGCAGAGAAGACATTCAGATTTGTGATCACTTTGTAAACAGTGGAGTTCATCGCACAAAAAACACCGCTGCAGAGAAGGGTGACAGCGAAGATACATTGCTGACAACGAGGACAGAGGAACCTTCGGTGGTACGAGATTTGATCGGTAGGATCCCTGCAATGCAACATCACGAGTTGCTCGTCCAGGGTCTCATCACGCAATCCGAGCTCTCAAAAGTCTATTCGATGCCCCGCGCGTCAGCACGAGCTGACTTCATCATAAGCCGCCTCGATCGCAAGCAGGAAGAGCGCCCGCAACTCCAAAAGATTCTGCGTGAACACCGTGAGAAGCAAGATGCATTCCTGAAAATGCGGAGAGAATCGAGTACGTGATATGCTGTACACACCACACAACGTGCACTACTGAGTGTATTAATGCATCATCTTTGTCACTCAACTCTAATGATGATGTACAATGAAGAAAGATATCCGTATGAGATTTGAACCCTTAATACGGTGCAATAAGTCATCGTTTAGCACGGTAGATGCGTTTCTCTAAAAAACGCCGCGTTAAGCGAAAATGCGTTCATGCATTGTGGCAGTAAACATGGAAAAAGTATCAGAATCCTTATCCTGAATGAGGAATCCGATGAGCTATGAAGCTCTTTTTGACAGATGTCCAGTAGTGACACGGGGTCAGCGAGTTGCATCAATACCAAATAATAAGTATGAAGCAGGTAACGTAATCCCCATATAGATGGATTCCAGATGAAGATGAATCCACTTGCTGTATTGCCATACCCTGGCATGGCAGCAGGTGGCGACTTCATCGCCCTTGCGTAGGGAGATTCACGATTCTGTGTGATCCTACAACCCTCGCCTACTAAGTGCTGGATTACAGGCGACGCGATTGGTAACGACCAGACGTGTCCTGAATCCATCAGACAGTTTTGTGGACAGTTTACTGAGAGATTGGGTCAGTCGGATGATACATTGGGCTCTATTTGATTCTTCTTTCATAGACAGGGCAGAAACTTTGGGCTGAAACGTAGGAACCCCTGATAAAGACCACAGCTGTGTGAAGTGCAGCCCTGCATGCTAACATTTTCAGCCAATTTTTATAATTCTTACTGACATATGTTGCCAATTGCAAAGTGCATTTCTCAAAAGTAATTAATGTTCACTTAACACAACATGTGTATTATTATCGTTTACAGGCACTTGCTCGCCGACTCTGAACCCAAACACGGCACATTGGAACCTCCAGATTTCTGCCGACTTTAAAACCGTCAGGACTTCCTCACGCACCCAACATTACCCGGACAATCCAGACAGGTTCGACCACTACCGAGTGGTCATTTGCTCTGAGAAATTCTCATCGGGTCGCTACTACTGGGAAGTGGACGTGAGAGGTTCTGATAAATTCATCATCGGTGTCACGTATGACGCGATACCACGGAAAGGTGATGACGAAGCCTATAAAATTGGGTGCAATGAAGTTTCGTGGAGCCTTAAGAAATGGTGCAACGACTACACAGCGCTACATAAAGAGACGGAAACAAAACTGTCGATGCGAGATGCTCCCAAAAGAGTCGGGGTTCACCTGGACTGGGAGGCGGGCGTCTTGTCATTCTACAGCGCCGACTCCATGTCGCTGCTGCATCAATTTCACCAAAAATTTGATCGAGAGCTGTACCCTGCAATGGCCGTGCTGCGTAAAAGTCTCTCAATATGCCCGTTGCCGTGGCACAGACACTCGTCGTTAGAGATGAGAGGCTCCTATTAGAGCGGTCGCTCATGCGACTCCTGTATGTATGTAGAGTAATCCCTGGCCAACCGCGAGGGTTCAGGTTCCTGAAAACCCTCGCGGTTTGGTAAAGTTACAGGAGGCCCATGGGTTGTAGGCGGGTAGGGGAACCACAGCCGAGGTCAGACTCGCCACAGCTGAACTAGGCTGCCTGTTTATTAACTAATCTATGTTCCTGTGTATGGTACATTATACAGTAACATGATACAACATAAATAAACATGACATTAACTTTACATACCTTTACTATTAACGATGATTATAATTAAAAGGAAGGCCGTAGCCATGGAGTCAACATTGGGGGGGACCAAATCCTCCAGGCTGTCTGGGGTTTTAACCCAGAAAAATATCTAAATTTGAAAACTCATTTCCTGTCTAAAATATTAAGAAATTCACTAACACATGGGATGGACTTTTTATTTTTTACAATAATGTCGAATAGTGTATTGTATTACATTGTTCTGTTTTTCTATTTTATCATTTCTTGTTTCATTGTATGTAATGGCAGAGATTAGGGATTAATAAAGTACAACCATAACCAATATCGTATAAACAGTTTAACACGTAGGCTTTCGCGACCAATGTTATTCATAATCATAAACCAAAAACGTTGATTATGAATCGTATAAACAGACATCTATGCATTGATTTATATGTAGACAAGTCCAGATATTGTGGCTAAGGTATAGCAAATTGTTTAATTTATTTCAATAGCATAGCATTTTTAAAATAGTGTTGAGGAGCTGGCGACGACTCACTCAGAGACGGAGGTGAGGTTAAGGGCTTCCGCCGTTTATTAAAGGGCTACACAAGACACGGGAGGGGGGGGGGGGGTGAACCACTTCCCAGGGGTTAGGGGTCCCGGGCTCGTTCCCACTGGGTCCCATCACAGCCGGCTGCCCCGTGCCGTCTCCTCTGCGCCGGCCATGGGATCATCCAACATGGCCGACCGAGGAGCACAGCTACGTCCAGCCCTGGCGCTGTGCTATATCCACTATCCCTACCCTCTTGACCCTGGCTCCCCGTTTCACCCTCTCTCGACCCTTGACTCAAGCTACGACCCCGCTTACATCACGGGGTACCCCTTGTAACCTTCAGGAGCTGTGACGTCACGTGCACTGTCCAGGACACGTGACCCCACGTCCCGTGACGTCATCGCACTGGACAGCACACACGACGCCATTACTCTCCTCTACTCCTCTACAATAGTAATATATTGGGGTGGGGGGGCATTTTGAGCATATTTGAATATTGGGGGGGGGGGGGTACCCCCCAATATATATATATAATTACGGCCTTGATTAAAAGGATTAACGACGATGATGATGACGATGAGATGATGGGGGAAGAGGAGGGGCTCAGGCCAGCCACGTCCTCTTCCTCCAGACCACAGACGCAACACTCTCTCAACACTCGCTGCACGCTTGGGTCCATGACTAACGGCAAAAGTAATGTGCACCATGAAGTACTGTACAACAATACAGAGCTGAGCAGCGCAACGGCCCCGCGGAATTTGTATTAAATTTCGCGGTTCGCAGAGCATACAAAACACCGCTATTGATGTTAAGATTTTTACGTATTTTGTTATATTAATCTGTTCAAGTAGCCGATCATACTGCGATGTTAAGTCGCCGTGTAAATTGTAGTTTTTATGGCCACTGTGCCTCGGTTCTTCCTGGCCGTGATCGTCCTCTTGGGCACAGTGGGGGTGGTCAACAACAATTAACAAAGTAACAACCGATAATTCTAGATTTGAAGCTTTCGTGACTGCAAGGATTCATACTCTTAGTTTTTTCGGTAAAGTCACGTAGGTAAAAAATGAAATTAATAAAAAATAACGACGTTTCGGAGGCAACACAAGTCTCCGTCATCAGGTGGGACCGTCACAGCCAAATTTGCTGTATCACTTGATACAGCAGATCACTTGATACAGCAAATCACTTGATACAGTAAATCTGGCTGTGACGGTCCCACCTGATGACAGAGACTTGTGTTGCCTCCGAAACGTCGTGATTTTTTATTATTTATTTTTATTAATTTTAATTTCATTTTTTACCTACGTGACTTTACCGAAAAAAACTAAGAGTAACAACCGATAATTCTCCGGCGTGATCTTCTTGCTCTCCACGCTTGGACACAAGGAATCCAGGAGGAGACTCCGTTCACACGCGGCGGGTTTATTGAGCCGGCCTCTCCAGCACACGGCGATGTCGATCATCTGAAACGACCAAATCTGCTGTCAACTTCACGCCCCACGCCTCACTGATCACGACGAGCCGATTCAAAAATTGGTCACTTTACATGCACACCGAATCGATAACACCGAATGGAACACACCGAATCGATGACATTAAAATCGAATCGATCAGTGATCTTGTTGACGTGAAGTCTCCATCATACTGGTCATCACCTAAGCATTTTGTCAAAAATATGTTGAAAAGGAAATAAAGAGGTTCTTCTTATAATACTAAGTGCGAACATATGAACCATTTAACAAATACATAACCACACAGGTTACACTTATACATCAACGTTATGCGAATGTACGATTTTATCATATCTGCGATTCAATGTATATACGGTATTCGGAAGTCCTACTTGGGCATTAACTTGATTCTGTGTCAGATTTTGTATTAAACTTCATACATTGAGTGCATACAAAACCATTGCATTCCGATGGAGTACATCATCTTAAACTTGACTGGGAGAGCAGCTACAACATGGGACCTTTTTTTGCCAGTATTAAAGTATGAAAAAATAAGAAAAGGTTTTAACCCTTTCTGGAAATAATACAGTCGTGTTAAGATGCTCAAACATTAAATAGAAACCTTCTGCAAGGAACCGTGTCACTGCGTTAACCACACACAAGGTACTTGGAGGTGAACATGCAAATATGCTGCTCGCCTTTTGGCGTTCTCTGGCCTGGCACTAGTGAGATTGGGCCCTAAAGAAGGCTGCTGTCTCTGGTGTAGACCAATCAGTCTCAAAGACAATACCATATATTATTATCGGAGCATGATTTTGTTGGCATGTTCACCACACGTTCTGCGTGTGGTTAATGCAGACACTATTCCTTGCAAGAGGTTTATTTTTGTTGTTTTAACATTTTAACACGACTGTTTTATTGCCAGTGTCCAATCTGATATTGAACTTCATTCAGTGATTCCCCACCCCACATTTGGTTGGCAGGAAGCACCCAGGGACATCTGCAGACTGTCAGAAGCCTCTCGGCTCCAGGGAGAAGGGGGGGAGGGGATTCGTACCAGACCAGTAACCAGAAAACTCTGGAATGGGTTTCGTGCGGCATGACATCGCTCGGCAGAGCTGGGCACAAATCTGGCGAGCCCCAAATTATGGTCCAGGAGCTCCCTCACTTGAGCTCGCCCAGTTGCAAACGACTGAACTTGAGAGACACTCACCCCAGGCCAATGTGCAGCAGAGTGGACTTTCAAAAAGTAGGCCAGGGACCTCTGGTTGGCGAAGATAGGACTCGTCGATGATGGATCTAGGAGGCGGAGGGGGGTTGAACCGACCGCAAGGAAAAGATTTGAACCAAAAATAAAAATCTGTAAAAGGAGTTGATGCCTGGAGGCGATGGAAAGTTATTTAAAGGGGGCTCCGATGAGCATGAAAGGAGGTAGAGCACGAGGAGTGTGGAGGGTGGACGCTCGAGGGAAGGGGCGACTATACGGAGTGAAGAACCAAGTGCTGGGCCGAGTGCAGGTCGCTCTGTGTCTTCAATAAAGAGGCACCGAGTTCCCAGTCGTCGGTGTCACTTCACACGGACCAATGAAATCGTGGGCGAAATGTATGAAGGTGTCACCGGAGTGCGGGCACAACGCAAATCTATCACCCGCGCTGCCCAGACATTGAGAAACTTTACCGTGATGTCACGATGTTTTTTTGGGGTTTTCAATAAAATGTGAGGCACCTACCTTGGGCCCGTCAACAGATAGAGGAGACACCGCAATTCCCCTTCTAGTCGTGGATTCATTTCGGTCCAGCGCAGCCACGGCCAACTCATCCATATATGGGCATTCAATTAACTGAGATGGCCAACGACTATCTCATAGCGCAACATCTAGCAGAGACGGCAGCGACGACGAGACGAGTCCACTCACAGAACCGGCAGTTTTGAGCCCCGTGCTCTTGGCTTTTTAAATCCTTTATATTAAGTTTGCTTGCTTGCTTGCGTGCTTGCTTGCTTGCTTACGACCGTGCAAATCTTTCGGTCGTTTTTTAACCCACTTCCCGTGATCCAATCGAGCTGACATTTTGCACACAGACTCGTTGTGCGTGACAATAAATGTTCGTGAAAAAAATCCAAAATGTTAAATTTTTTAGGACAAAAATATTATATTTAATGACCATTGCTTAATGGTGGCAGGCAATCATCTGATCCATAGGTGGCAGCCATCTCAAGCCAGAGGACGAGAGGACTCTAGCCGCCACGCATATAAAGGATTTAGAGTGAAAACTTTGTTTTTACGGGTTAATTTTTTTTATGCTACCAACGCGACCTGGCTCCGCCCTGACCGCACCTCCCTTCTCTCGAACCTGCCAGCAGGTTCCAGGGGCCTCCAGATGGGGTCCTCCATAACCCTTGCCCCTAGTTCCTCCGCTCTGCCAACACGCACCGTGCTCTTAGTTTTTTTCGGTAAAGTCACGTCAGTAAAAAATGAAATTAAAATTTATAAAAATAAATAATAAAAATCACTAGTATCACTACTACTACTAGTATTACTACTATTACTAGTATCACTACTCTGACTTCTAGATTTGAAGCTTTCGTGACTGCAAGGATTCATACTCTTAGTTTTTTTCGGTAAAGTCACGTAGGTAAAAAAATGAATTTTAAATAATAAAAGTAAACACGTAGGCTTTCGCGACCAATGTTATTCATAATCAACGATTTTTGGGTTTAGATCGCGTTTATTTATAAATGTGTCGTAACCCTCCACCACCCGACACGGCCAATCAGTAAAAAATGTGTGGGCTAAAGCAGTGAACTATTTGTCTTTGTCAACGTGACACATTTTTACTGATTGGCCGTGTCGGGTGGTGGAGGGTTACGACACATTATAAATAAACGCGATCTAAACCCAAAAATCGTTGATTATGAAGAAAAGTTAAAATAAAAATAAAATAATAATAATGGACGACGTTTCGGAGGCAACACAAGTCTCCGTCATCAGATGGGACCGTCACAGCCAGATTTGCTGTATCAAGTGAGGCAGGGATTCAAGATGCAAGCTCTTAAATACCAGTTAAGGGGGAGGGGGGGGAGGGCTTATCAGAATGTGGTAGCCAATGAATGGAACGTATTGGGAGGGGTGGGGGGGGGGGCTAAAAGAGGCACGAGGTGCACGTGTACATGTTTGTGCACAGGCACCTGTTGGTGCACATGATAGAAGAGAACGAAAATGCCCATGTTGTTTTTACCAGTGTTGGCCAGAGGTGTGGACTCGAGTCATGTGACTTGGACTCGAGTCAGACTCGAGTCATGAATTTGATGACTTCAGACTCGACTTGGACTTGCATAACAATGACTTTGT